GCAGCTTCGCCCTCACAGGTAAGCTCGGTCTTTCAAGGAGGGGGGGGTGTGGCATACTGCGCATCCACACGGGCCTGCAAGGCCCGACCAGACGAAAAATAAGGGCCCTCTAGGCCCTGTGTCGTTTCAGCCTATAAAAGCCTGAAAACGAGGGTCATTTTCAAGCCCCCATAAAGTCAACCTGCCCTAAAACTCAGGCTCAAGACCAGGGTTTAGCACAAGCCATTTTTGGGCCTGTTTCAAGACAACCTTTGTTTAGACTTCAACGCCAGGGTCTGGCAAGTTTTGGGATTGGCAAGAGCAGCCTCCCGGATGGGCCAGCACTATATAGTACTGGCCCGCCCCGAGTCTTCAAGGTGTCCAGCTGCTTGCTGATGGTGGCTGGTGCAGCGAAGGTGCTGATGTCGCCGAGCATTGCGACTACGTGGTCAACTCGTTCCTCCAATTGGCGGGTAGAGGGKGCACTGCTGGACTAGCCAGCATCTGGTCTTGGTGCAACTTGCTCCAAGTCCTGTACACGGGAATCAAGTGCCCGTGTAGCATCCTCGTGCAGATCCTTGTGGTTCCGCACTGGCCGTCGGAGATATGCCAGCTCGGACTGCAGGTGGTTACAAGTGTAAACCAACCGGGTCACGAGTTTGGCAATAAACTCCTTGTGCTGCTCTTCCGCTTTCGCGTCTTCGTGGTGCTCGGATGGTTCAAAATGCCAGAACTTGAGCTTTTCGATGCTGGCAGCTTTGTGCCGCTGTAGCAGATCCTGGGTATTTCAATATACTGTTTATGCTTCCAAAATACAAAGTTGGACGAATCTGGAAACTTTAGGAAATCTACTTTATACCACTTATTTTTATTTGTTTCTGGTTTCAAGTCTTATTTTATTAGTGGCCATGATTGGAGCTATAGTATCTGCGTCTACTTCGGCCTGAAGTCACTGCTTTTCAGCTGCTGTCGCCACTTCAGCCTGTAGGCGGGCAGCCTCGGCTGCCGCCTGGCGTTGTTCCTCAGCCTCGATCAGTGCGCGCTGAGCCTGGAACCGCTGTCGGTACTCGGCAATGGACTCATTGGCCAGTTGGCCTAGCATGCCCAGAACTGAGACTGTCATGGTGGCGGGGTACTGCTGACATGGCACTGTTGCTGACGTGGTACTGCTGACGTGGTACTGTTGACGTGGCACTGCTGACATGGCACTGTTGCTGACGTGGCACTGCTGACGGGGCACTGTTGCTGACGAGGCACTGCTGACGTGGCACTGTACCAAACCGGGAATGCAGGCAAAGGGTTGGGTGGGAGGGAAAACGCAGGTAGGTAACCAACCAAACTATACTTTCCTCCTGGTCCTAATCAACAGAAAAATAAACACAAAAATAAAAGACGAGGATCACCCCCCCTTTTTTTTTTTTTCTCTCGATCTGCTATGAGTGAGGCCTTTCAGAGGAGTACTACGAGCGAGATCTAGGCAAGGTTCCGCAAAGTTTCGGCTTAAAAAAAAAATGCGATCTTGGGAAAAAAAAAATTGCGCTAAAATTGCGGCTAAATAGACTGGAGGTTCCACTTTCAGAGAAGAATCAATCCAGTCTCCGAGAATATGACAACCTCTATCGCTATCCTAATATGCCTAGAAAAAGAAATGTTAACATCAGAAATTTTCGGCTATGTAAGCAAATATCAGAAATTTTCGGATGCTAATATCAGAGAAACGAAATGCTACTATCAGAAATTTTCAGATATTTGTTGTGTGAAAACGAAATGCTGATATCAGAAATTTTCAGATAAAACGAAATGCTATTATCAGAAATTTTCATACTTGCGGTGCATCGACATGAGCTGCACCGCGCACACGCGCCGCACTGCGCACAGCGCACGACGTGCTCACACGGGGTGCGGCGCACCCCAAAAACAAGGGGTCGAGAAAAAAAAAAAAAGGTTGGGGTCCTTGGGGAGGGTTGTTTTAGACCCGAGTGGGATGTCACGTCCTAAACCACAAAAAAGTATTGACAAAAATTTGAGGCTGCGCGCGGCCTCCGAAAAAAAAAAAGGGGGAAGTTTGCTTTTTTTTTTGTGTGTGTG